GGATCATCTATTTAGACGGAATGTCACTCTGATACTGTTAATTTTTTTATTATTTGGGCGTATAATTAAATGTCACTCAAATCACTGCTTCCACTGTAATGAAATGTCAGGAATTCATATTTCCAGTCCAGGAATCTGTATTCCTCATTCCGGAATTGACAATCGGGGAAATTAATTCAAGAATCGGGTTTATTCACATTTTCCATTCGCAAATTGCCGATTCAGGAATCCTTATTACGAGAGTAGAAACACAAGAATGAAGTTCGCCCAAGTCGAAATATCTCGAAATATCTCGAAACGCGTAGGCCTAATTCCCTATTGGTCGAGTCGAACCGCCAAATTTTAATTCGGCGCACGGAGTGCGCAGTAGGTCTCGTCCATATTTAGAACCCATGAATCTTCATTACACATTCTGAAATCGGGAATTGGGAATGTAGATTATTGAGTTGGAAATTTGAATTTTAGAATTGGCTTTATTTACATTTTCAATTATAAAGATGTAATTTCAAGTCGTCGTGACAAATCGGTCAAATGACAAAAAATTTGATACCGCTATTAAATTTTTCATTTTTCCTCGTTCGACTTAAATTGTAATGTCTGCCCACTGTCATGTAGTGGTCAGAGATTTTTCACTAGCGGGTCAATCAAAAATGTTAATGCAACTGATTTCTTAGCATTCATATTTCAACCGGAGGAGGAGTTGAAAGACGCGGAGGAAGCATCACGAAATGCGCATTTGTTCTCTTCCGAAATGTCATCATCCATTGTCTTTTCGTTGAAGTCAATACATGCCGTATTAACTCCTCCGTAAAGCAATGTGACCCTTATTAGGGTCACATTGTCTGTAAAAGTTGATTTGTGAATTAATCAGATCCTCAAACAGTCCGAAATTGTTTTTTTTTTGTTGAAAAGAGGATTTCGAGTTCTCAATAATGGGACGACAATGGCTTTCCCACGGGATGCAACCGTTGTTTTGAGATGGAAGATTGAATGGGAAATAAAAGGTGGAGTTGTATGTGAAAACGAGAACGTGAGGCTGAGGTTGAGGTATCACCGATCAGAACTACTTGATGCACTCGGGATAATTTTCCGAGAGTCCGCAGAAATTAATTCTTCACCGGAAATCCCAGTTTGTGGAACTAAATGAAAGTTGATCGTTTCATCTCGATCTGCACCCGGGAATTTCAAAACGTCTTTCGAAATGTAATTAGTTGTAAAAAGAGGCTTGTCAATGAAATTCAGTGGCGAGTCAAGTGATAGAGTTTAACATTTTTCTCTTCTCTTTCAATTATCGATTTATCTTGAAAATTATCGATTTAACGAGGAAATTGTTAGGAACTTTTTTGTAGATGATTCAATTTATAATAAAAAAGGTCTTTTCATGGTTTGCGTTAAAACTAATTAATCAGTTGTTGAATCAATTTTTAACAAAAGTGGACATTTTGAATTGAAAATTTTGGATTCTTTAGAAAACTATGAATTTACCTCGAAAACTATCGACTTGTCATGAAATTGCTAGAGAACTTTTTCGTAGCTGATTAAATTTCCGACGAACAAAATTTTTTGACATTTCCCTCTAAAGTCACTAGTTTTCGAATTAACCGATATTTAACAAATCCCCAAAATTCCACACATTCTACATCAATTAATTTCAATTAATTAGCGTTTCCTATTAATTCCCAAATTTTCCGGAAGTCGTCGTAGGTTTCCTAGGATTTTTATCGGAATTACGCATAATGTAAAAATAAATTTAAAAATATAATAATAATAATAATAATATATCATAATACAAATATTGCGGGACATTTTTTTGAGAATGAATTGATTTTCTTGAATTTTTCCGGGAGTTTTAGGTCGGCCTGGGGATGAAAACAGTGGCCTGAATCTGCATGGGCAATCTTTCACGTTTCACATCTGCCGTAACCTTCGTCCATTTTTTTTTCTCCTTTTTTTACCTCTTCCTTCCTCTCTGCTTCTCGTGTTGGTACATTTTACCGCTGATCTCGTTGTGATTTCTCGGTGTTACTCTCTCGCTCATGAAATATTCACGCAGTACGACGAAATCATCGTTTGTTAGTCAACGCAATAGTTGCCTCCTCGCTTTTTTTTTTTGGTTTTCTTTCCGTATTGTAATGGGGTCTATTTATCGAGATAAATAAAACATTTATTTTCTATGAAGAAGGCTTTCGTCGATTAATTCGAATGGACCAACCACCGATTATGTGTCGATGAATATCTCGAAATCTAATGGAGATACAAAAATATTTGTTTCACCTTTTTTGTAGGGGAAAATGAGAGCTAAAAAAAGTTTCCTGTATAAAGTTCGCTAGGTCTGTTAGGTTCGGAGATAATGAGCGATATTCTCAAGAGGTTCAAGATATTGTGAGACAGATTCGGGAGGATTGACCCCGGGGATGAATTATTTATCGATAAATATCTCAGAATCGAATAAAGATACAAAAATCTTTGTTTGACCTTTTTTGTGGGGCAAAACCAGAGCTAGAAAATCTTTTAAAAAAAAAATCCGCTATCGCCCACGGATTCAGAGATATCAACAGGAAACTCTGAAAATGGTTTATTCGCCTCTATTTTAGTCCCGGGTCTATGACCCGCGTTGACAATTTTGTTATTCTTGTTGATATCAAGGCAACGTGGGATCTTCAGGTACGAAAGAGAAACTCGATTGTCGCCAGTGGGGGAAACGTCGCCACCGTTTTCTTTCTCATTCATCTGGAACAGAATATCGGTCTCAACGGAGTTCAATATACATCGCGAAAAAGAGGAGTAGGTGGAGAGATTGTGCAAAGAGGGCCCTCTTCCCTCTTTATTGCACTAGATCTTCATTAATTTGACAAGGAGCATCGTGAGACTCTCGTTCGGGTGTTAACCGACTGGATAAATAGGTCAGGTCTTATGCAATTGGCCTGAATGCTTTTTTTTTCGACAATGAATGCCGAGTAAAAGTTATGTTTCCACCTGCTGATTCGTCTCGTTGATAAATCGATGGGAAAAATCCCTGGGAATTGATTTTTTTTGCGGCCCCAAACAAGAAAAAACAATTTGGAGTTCAGCGGATATTTTTATGTTTGAAGTTTTTACGTCTGCACGAAATTATGAGTCAATATGATTTTTTTGTTTCGGTAAATCGAGGAGAGGCGATATTTGTTGTACATCGATTGAACTCGAAAACTATCCATTTTAGGAGGAGATGGTAAAGACATTTTTTGTAGGAAATTTAATCAGCTAGAAAAAAGTCCCTTTGGGTTTGGGTATTAAATCGATAGTTTTCGAGATAAATCGGTGGTTTGAGAAAATTAATAGTCCAAAGAATAATCCCGAATCCACTGAAAAAAATTTATACTTGAATTTTAAATATACTTTATACTTTGTCAATACATAGATATTATACTTGAAATGAATATATTAGTACACTTGACTCAAGTATGATATTATACTTGAATAAAGTATAGAAGATCCTCAGGAATTATCAAGTTCTCCTATCGATCCACTCCTTTTCGAGTGCACAGAAAAAGAAAATAATCAAGTTTGACATTTTAATATTTGATTTGAATCAAGTATACTTTAAACTTGAATCAGGCATATATTTGTTGAATGTATTTGAATGTTGAATCAAGTTTAGTTCATACTTGATTCAAGGATATATTTTTTTCCGTGCAGCATTCCCCGGATAGATTCACGATGACAATTCATTTTCAACGTTTTACTCCAGACGAAGAATCGCAGATGAAGAGAAGTCCGCATCATTGTTAACTTATGGGCTTGAGAATTTCCCACGATTGTCCTCGTCATTCCCGTAATAGTCGGGTATTCAAAATAGCGCATTTACCCGTCCTGTTGGCGCAATTTAGGAGAAGAAAATTCCGCGTGAATGGAAAAAAAAGCGGAAAGAGTTTCGTGACAAATTGAGAGCTGCAAAATGATCAACGACGCGTTATGAATTTCCCGGGGATTTTTCATTCGAATAAATCATGCACGCGAATTTTAATAAGGCTGGAGGGGATGATCATCTGAATTTATGGACGAGGAAACGTCGAGAGAAACAGCAATCGAGTAAATACACCGGTGATATAAGGATAAACGTGGGCGATTCAGCCTTTAAATCCAGAGAATCTCTTGGTAAAATCGGTCACATCTCTCATGAAAAATTTCTTCGCCAAATCATTGAAAATTCATCGTCAGACGCAACTGTCAACTTCTATCGATCGATCCATCATTGTTTATCGCGAAAATTTACGTTTACTTATAAACATTTTTAGTATAATTATAATATTTTCCCACTACTAACATTTTTTCAAATAAAAATTAGAGATTGCAAAATTTCTAGTTAAAATTCCGTGAAAAGTTTGAGTTTTTATTATTCATCGACGATAATTTTAATAATTATTACAAATAAAAAATGAACATTTCTTCGGGAAAATTTCATAACAATATTTTAATTTTTTCAATACCCGATAAATTTTACCAGCTATTCTGCTCCGTAAACAATAATTTAATACGAGCTTGCTCAGATCATATGAAAGTTCTTCAGGAATATCTTGAAATCGAAGAGAGATATCGAAATTTTGATAAAACCTTTTTTTCAGCCCTCTTTTCACCCTTGAAGAAAGGTCTCACTAAAAATGTAGCAATTCCTCTTAAATTCCGAGATATCCGTGGAAAACTGCAGTTACCCTATCCCTCCGAAACTGAATTGACTTTAGCGTATCTTCACTAATCGATCTTTTCAAAAATATTTTGCGAATTCTAGTTAAAACCCTCCGCAAATGGATCCAGAGCGATTTGACAGCTTCCAATGCAATACAAAATCCGCAAAAATCGATTTTGACAAATTATTTGCTGCGATAAACAAGAAACAGCAACTCAATACCCAAAAAATGTAAAATCTCTGATTTGCTCTCAGAACTGTCACCCGTCAATCCTCTCACCGCCTCCCTGTGCAATAAAAACAGAATGATGGAATGCCAATAAAAAAAAATTACCTTCTCCGTCATTCCATAACGGGCACGATCGGCCAAGAAGGATCACACACTATCCTGGATCTTCCGGTCGAATATCAAATATTCCAGTCAGTATCGAGCACGTGTTGGACACTTCACTGTTCCTCAGTAACCAAAACAGTTTTCATAACATCAATGCAGGCACTGACACCATCACTCTGTCAATGACAAACTCAATAATCCAAAAAAAGGTCGATATATTCCAAAGATGCACGTGTCAAAAGATTAATGCGATCAATGAGATGAGTGAAACGGGTAAAATCCTGACAAGCACGTTGAAGACTTGAAGAAGCTTGTTCAAGGAGTCTTCACGAAAAGTGCGAGAATGGGCCGATGTAAAAATGTTAAAATCAAAAGGAAAACAATGTACGTTGTACGTTACACTCGCCTCAAAGGATTGAATGGTATTGAGGAATAGAGAGCGAAGAATATGGCAAATGCGGGCAAGTTGGGCGGGGATAGGTTGAACCCGTAGGTTGCTCCGGGTGGGTTTTAGCTCTAAAGTAGCCTCAGTCTATTCCCGATAAGTTGTCTTATTTCGAGAGCTCCCCGGTTATTCCAGCGATATACCGTTGTGGAATAACAGCGTGATACGTTGGTAAGGTAAGTACTCAACAACTAAGAGGTATCTCTGGTTGCTAGCACCATGCCGGCACGCGACCTCCTCCCTCCATATTCGTTGATCACCTCTTACCATCTCTCTTCTCCTCAATATCTCCTCAATACCCACCACAGCACCACCAACAGCACTGATACTTGGTGTGGTCCCTTCTATCTACCACTCCTGCTAACGCCCAGCCTCCCAACAATTCACATTAATCCCACTCTTTCGTTAGCCTCTCCCCCTCTGATCTATCCAATCCCTCCCACCACTCCTCTTTCATACATTTTTTTTTCTCAAACACATGGGGTTAGCCTACACCGATGAGGCTACATCCTCATCGTCAACCTACCAGCAACACTTATTCACTTCTGCAATGTGGCCCCTCTCCTGGTGGTTAACCAGAGGCTAAAAACCAAGGCGACCAGTCATGCCACGGAGTTACATCGAGAAGCATCTCTTTGCTCCTTCGGATATTCACTCCGTCAATTTATTGACACCTTTTACAATGTTCTTCATCGCAACCTAGCAAGGACACATTATGGTCAATCCAGGTGGAACCACTTCCTCATGGAGATCAATTAGGACAATCCAAATTGGCCTCGAACTCGTTTCGTTGTCATGGTTTTCCAATTCTTGATGGCCAACTTTTTGCCTTTTTTTATGTCCTTTTAGGTTTCTCAGGGGAGACTTTAGGAGCTGGTGATTTTGTAGGCTGTCATTCAGAGGTGATTCAGAGGTATGAACTGTTGATGGATCCTTGAAATTATTTGGTGGGAAAACTCTGGGTGGCAGGAAATGATTTTCAGTTGGCAGTGAAGTCTCTTCTTTTTTCGTCATCTGGTGGATAACTCATGGAGTTGGTGATTTTTTCGTTGATACCTTCAGATCGACAGTGAATTTAATCTCTGGAGTTTGTGTTGTGAATGAAAATAAGAGGAAAAATATCTCACAAAAACTTCGCGCTCCATTGAATTCTGAGATATTCATTAAAAAGTCAGCTACGACGAGTCGAATCAAGTTATCACTTTTTACGACTTCGCTAGTAAATTACAAGCAATGAATTGATAACAGCCACGCAAGGTATTGACTCCCGATCGGCTGTCACTGCTGCATTTTTTTCATTCAATGCGAAATTGAAATGTAGATTTTTCACAAGCTAAATGTTATCACAATTTATCGGATAATAAAGAGCTTTCAGTCTTTGAAGAATAATTACGAAACGTTCAACAACTTTCTTTACGATTTCTTACAGAATTTATTTTTCATAATCATTTTTGAAAAATACTTTAACCTATTTTTTGCCAAAGATGTAGAGAGATTTTTCTTATTTTACAATTAAATAATGCGTCATAACCTAGGGAATTTTCATAATTTTAAGGTGGGACCTATAAAACTCGGTCTATTCGATTTCGATTTTGGAAAAAAAAACTACTTTCAACAGTTAAACACTTAAATTTGTGACAATTTAAATGCTTGTCGATTTCATGCAATTATCGATTTTGTTAATTTTTCGATATTTCCCCTTGCCTTCGGTATAAGTCAAATTTTCAACAGATTTAATCTTTATTTCAATTTTTAATTTAATCGAACGATGTATCGATTTTTAGAGTTTTATTGTTGCTCTGACTCAATCATTAATAACCTTTCAACATCCTCAACCGATTATGCCGATTTTAGATATTTACCATATCATATTGATTTTTCGATTTTTCGAGTTTTCCCGCGGCTCCCGGCAACTATCAATAAACTTCCAACACATTTAATCAGAGTTGCCGATTTTCTACGTCTATCGATTTGAAGCGATTGGGTTTTTATTTACTTGATCGTTATATGGATTTTATGGATTTTTCGAATTTTCCTGGGGCCCCGCCTAAACCATCAATAACCTTTCGACACCTGCAACCGATTCTGCCGATTTGAGATGTTAATCGATTTTGAAGATTT